TTTGAATATTGACTTATACATAGTAGTTATCATGTTTTAAAAGTGATTTAATTATTCTTATTCACGTAGTTATACAACAAATGAAGATTGACTTGTAAACTAAATGTTCACTAGTGATGATGTTGAACATGATAATTATCAGATGAGATGGTCAGAAAAAGAATTATACTTACTCATAGATACTAAAACAGTTTATTAATGATGATCTTTTGTTAAAGCAATTTATACATTATATTAAGAATACAAAGAATTACGGAGAAATCAATAAGAAAAAGAAGATGATAACATTATGATCTGTTAGGAATATTATTCAATTATATAATCTTTAGTATCCTCTAGCAAACATTTAAGTATGGTGATCAAATAATAAAAATTCGTTTCAGAAGTGAAATCTTTAAACAAACCATCTGTCAGCTTGACTTTGAGACACAAGGACTATAGTACAAAAAAACAACAACATCATTTTCTTATCTATACTACGAATAATAATCTATACGAGCAATGTCATTCATTAGCGATGTAATTTCACAAGAATAAAAATATGTATATCTTTGGATTCTGAACTTTAATTAGTTAATTTTCATTGTAACATATAGATGTTGAGTTACTCTAGATAACCTGAAAAACTCAATCATATAGACCTTCATTCAAGTTGAATGATTAATAAAAAACTAGCATTAGCAATGTGATACAAAAAAGAGAAAAGTTTTTACTGTGTGTGTATTTTGTAGATGACTCTACACACACTTTTTCTTAAATATGCTTTGATTTTTCAAAAAATTGAGTCTATTCGTTGTCAGCAAAGTCGGGGGATACAAATATAGAAACGGAAATCTTCTTGAGAATCTCAACATCATAGCAAAACAAAAAGATCTCGTTTCGAAATAAGAGCAAATCTCTAGAAATCGGTTATGGGAAAGGAGTTTTTTGAAGTTCAATCTTGCTGAAAATGTCATCATAGATATAGTGAGCAACGTGGAGTGTATTCGAAATTTCTTGAACCTATCCATTATAATTTTAGAGAGTTATTCGCTAATTAAGTTTAATTAGGTGTAACCTTAAAGAATTAATATTTTTACACATATTCATGAGAAAAGAACTTGTTTAAAAAAATAACCTTTATAAAAAATGATAGTAAAATCGACGATGGTCATATCTCGTTTTCATTGCTTGTACCCATATGTTCTCATCAAAAAGAATGATGGATAATATTAGATAAATTTTAAAATTTTTATCACTTTTTAAATCAGAAATACACATCTGAACAAATTCTACTGTGAATAAATTCACTTCATTCATTGACGATTAGTAATTCTTAAATTAATTTATCAATACGTTAAATCATTCAAGATTTTTAATTGAATTTAAATTTCACTTCATTTTGATTATGATGATTAGTTTGAAGAGCTGAATAATAAATATCTACAAGTTATTGATCATCTTTTTCTCTACGATCATTATTATGATGATGTTTTTAATTTATATGTTTGTTGAATTATTTCTTTTCGCAACATTAACTTTTGTAATTTGTTTAATTGCTATTTTAATAAAATGATCAGATAATGTATAATCTTTTATTTTTTCTTCGCAATAAATATTTGAGTAAAAGAAGATATTTGTTTAAATGATTTAAAACAATGTATATAAAGATGAACGAGTCATCAAGTTAGATAAGTATTTAAATCATGAGAATGTTTAAAATTTGATTGATATGAACATTTTTCTTGATCACCTCGTACATCCTAAATAGAAAAGATAACGCATTAGATCATCTATTTATCAATCATTATGGATGTCAAATGAAGAAAATAAATTTTCATATCTAAATTTTAATTTACTTTAAATTTCTTCTTTTTTGTTAGTTGATGAGAATTATTTGTCTCATCATTGTTTGTTTCGACAAAATAATTTCTTATCTTTTTCATTTAAATCATGATCAAAAATCAATAAACCTTTTTAAAAATAAATTGTCATTGTTTTATGCATATTTGAATTCTATTTGTAAGCAACAGACTCAATTTTTATTTGTGCCATTTTATGTTTGCTGTTCTATGACGACATTCACAATCTACAATCTGTTACGGTTACGTACCGTGATGAATAATGCAATGCCAATCGCCATATGTGACCATGCGTTAAATATTTTGAAGAAGAGAAATAAACAAATGAGTAGTTATTTTGACAATCAATATACTGTCACCACAAAAAATAATTTCAATAAATTGTCCAAACGAAAGAAATATTCTTCAATAAGCGAATGATTGACTAAATTTTCAATGAGCAGTGCTTGTTGAATTGGAGCCTAAAACAATCATTAGCATGATAGCCTTTATAAAAATGTATAGTATGTATAAGATGTTAAGCAATAATTATAAGTTATTCAAATTTATCAGTCATATAAGGTGACGAGCATGCATATTTACCTGATGAAAATGATGAGAAAATATTAGACATGCGAAAAAATTTAAGACACAAAGCTATCGAACAATCTGATCCAATAGATTATATAGTCGAAGAGGTATTTCATGAGATTAATAGTCAATCTCAATTCAATGATTTCATTGTTAATTTACTGTCCGTTCGCACAATAAAAAATACGTGATAAAAACAATGTCACAAGAATCGTCTACCAATCTCACAAGCAATCGAACAACTTTCGTTTCCATTATCTGACGTAAATTTCAAAACAGCACAAGGTGAATGTTTTTTGTTATATATAATGGGTCGCTTGGTAATTTTAGTTCGCTGATTTTCTTCTCATATAATGATATGTTTTATTTATCACAACAAGAATATAGGTATAATGATGGTACATTTTATACATGTCCACCTATTTATGATCAGATATATTTAGTTCATGTGTATTATAATGGAATATCAACACCATGCGTTTTTGTGCTACTTGTAAGAAAATCAGAACAAATTTATTCACCGTAAAATCCAGAAAAAAATTCGAACTCAAGACAATTATTAGATTACGAACGATTAAAATTGAGGACAAAGTTTATTTCGTACGTTTGTTGATCTTAGTTTGAAGACAGAGTACAGAAATGGTGAAAACCTTCGTGATTGGTTGAGATCTTTTCCAGTGCTATCGTTATTACCATTAAATCATATGTTTTGGATTTTACACTGAAAAAAAAAACAATAATCATCACTGTTAGAAGCGTCTCAGATCGAACAAGCATACTTATGAACAACCGTAAATCGCTAAATTTCATGGCTCAATAGTATGATCATATTTCTTGTCATCACATACAGAGAAATATAATCACTTATAGAATTCTTCTACAAATCAGCATGTTATCGAATATACGAATCTCATATTCTTCACCTTGAGATACTCCTCGGTTCATTTGAATATTAATGTAGAGCTGCCATTTTTTGTTACCCTACGCAGTGATTTGTATTATAGTTACTCTATGGTAATTATGTTATAGACAGACACAGATGAATTTTCGTTTCTAAACCCTATCCTTACAGTCTAGGAGAAAATAATCATCCATCAATTGGTTAAATTTGTTTTTTTTTGAGATCATTGATTTAAGATTTGGTAACTATGTCAATATTTTTTATAAATATACCATACAATACGTGCTTGAAACTGTAAAAAAAGAATTCGTTCTGATTTTTATTTTATATAAATACTCTAAAACAACAAAAAAATACTGAAGGATGACTCATAGAGATCACCAAAGTCAGGCTATTTGTGCAAATAAAGACATACATGATTTTGATGAATATAAAAAGAAAAGAATTAGTCATCGTTTCTTATATATATCATGAAATCATATATAATCCTGTAAGTTTTAAATTGAAGTGGTTTCATCATTGTTCGGTCCGAATGATTATCATGTTGACTCGGTTAAGTCATTTGATAAGATATTTATAACTATAAGTTTTTATTATGTTACTATATACAGTATTGACTATTTTTTATTCTATCACCACAAATATATATAATTATCTTGTATGTATACATGTTTTTTTTTCTTTAATGATCTCGTAAAACTTTCTAAGTAAATCTCGATCGCTGATCTTAAGAATTTTGTGAAACTATCATACAAATAAATTCGAGTTTCTATAGAATTAAAATTCATTTTCCATTCAGCTTAGTCATGTTGGATTTTGCTTTTTTGTTAAGTTTTCGTTGTTGATTTAAGAAAACAAGAATATTTTCTATTCATATTCTCATCCAACATCTAACTAAAATAAGAAGACTGAACACTCGCTATTATTTTCCCTTTAAATAAAATACTCTTAAAAATCCATCATTTGAAGAATCTAAGGTCTTGTTTGTTCCAGATCGAAATGTTTATTACGATCTATGACAAACAAGGAATAGTAAATCTTTGCGTCAAAATTATTGTAAATTTTAATTCTTCAAAATTTCTACTAATTAAAAAAAAGGTCCTACGAATATAAAGTAATATAAATGTAATTATCTATTCATTTGAAATCTATCATTCCAAACGTAGCTAAGAAATCAGAACGTAGAGATTTTGTAACAATTAGAGATTTGTCACGAATTCCTGACAAAAATATTATTATCATGCACGTTAGTCACTTCCTTTTCGCATTTATCCTGACCTATGAAAATAAAGATTTACATTTTTTTCAAGTGTATAGGAACAAAGATCTTATGGAATTCGTTTGTTTTATAATACAAGCGACTAGATATATTAATTGACAACTGAAAATTTCATTTTCATCAAGTAAATATTTATTAATCTAGGATACTAGTGACATCTAAACCTTTTATTTTATTTCTTAACAACATATTATTTTAAATAGAATTTCTTTTATCAATTCAGTAAGTTCTTTTTAATTGTTCATTTACTTATAAAAAAAAAACAAAGAAGAAATCATTTAATCCAACATTGACATAGATTGATTATTTGTTTTGATTACTATTCAATTGGATACATAACCAATGAAGTAGACAAAATAAATGATTGTTAATAATCTAATATGTTACCTATCAATTTTAAGATTTTAAAATGAGTACTACAGTATATCATGATAATTCTCCACATTATCTTCAATCATCGATATTAATCAATAATAAAACATCCGGTCAACAACGACCAACACATAATCTATCTAAAAATCTTTCACAAAATGAAATTCAATGTTTATATGATCTTCTTGGAAATAATTGTGTGGTATGAATAAATATTTTTATAATTAAATTTGAATGTTTTGTTTTTATTTATATAGACTTTAGCAACAGCTGTTGCACAAATCTTACATACACATAATAATATTTGGAAAAAACATTCAAGTGGTGTTTTATGTTTTATTAAAGATTATAATAAACAAACCTATTATTTTCGTTTATATGATCTTCAAGTAAAAGATATTATTTTAATAATAAAAATAATCATTTATTATTTTAGTTAAAACAATCAATCTATGAAGAAATCATATCTTCATCATTACATCTTGAAAAAATATCAGATCTTTTTTATATATTCGATGGAATGGTTAGAATATTTCTGTTTTAATTAATTCTTTTTTATTTTTATTTTTATTAATTAAATAATATAGTATTATAAAGTTGGTATTAATTTCATTGATCAAATTGAAGCAAAAACATTTTGTAATTATTTTCATACAAAACAAGATAATCGACAAAGTAAAAATAGAAGACAAAAAAAATTTTTCTTATTAAAATTTCAATTTTTTTGTCTATAATAGACAAGAAAAATCCAAAGGATCAACAAATATCAATGTCATCGACTACAAATGAAATTAAAACAATATCAATTGATAAATCATTATTAAGCTCTAATAATACATCGAAGAGTAAGCAAAAAAAAAAGACATTTTTTTTCGAATAAAAAACAAAAAAATTCTTATTTAATGTAGAACAATCAACTTCGAAAAGTCAACAACAAAAAAAATCCAAAGATAATCGACCAGTTATATCCCTACCAATACCTTCAAGGTTTATTAAATAAAATTTATTTGAAATAATTTTTATTGTGTATTTTTTCTTAGTTTTACTCATATTATTCATGCTGGACCTGATGAAGTATGTTTTATGTTAAATTGAATATATACTTATCTATATATTGTTTATTATTATTATAGAGTTTTGTAACAGATGATGCACATAGAAAATTATTTGAAGAAGTATTATCTAATATGCCTATATCATTAGAAGAAAAATCATACATTCGAAGAACTGTAATAGATACAGATGGTGGTTTGGAGAGAATTTTTGCTAGTGAGTTTTCTCTTTTTTATTTTGATCAAAAAAAAAAAAATATGAAATTCGTTCTTTTCTTTTTTGTTTCTTGTAGAATCATTACAAGATTGTGATAATCAACAGTATGAAATGTCAAATAGTCCACCAGAAATTCCTCCACGTACTTATTTAACAAATGGACAAAATAATATTAAACGTAGTCCACATCAAGATATTTCTATTCCATCATTAACCTATCAGAAAACAAATACAATTTGTCCTCAAATTCCGAATACATCAATTATTTCCGAACGATCAAAAGCACCAATCATTCCACCAAGACCTTCTCCTGATGCACCAAATAATATACATTCATCTGTTTCAATTCCACCACCATTACCTCCTCCTAGACGTGCTAATTTAGAAAATCAAAAACCAATTGCTAACATTCCTCCAGCTCCTCCTCTTCCAATTTTTTCATCAGAACAAATTACAAAAGAACCAGCTACGGAATCGTCAAATTCTCAACCTAAAGCTTTCCTTCAAGAAATCCTTGATTATAATAAATGTAAATTAAAAGTATGTATTCTTATTATCTTTTGATTATTAATCTTTTACTATTCATTTTAGTCAGAGGCAGAACGATCAGCAACATTGAAAACATCATCTATAAATAAACCAAATATTGAAGTACAACGTACTCTTGTAACAAATATTATGGAAATGCTTGCTCCACGACGAGCAGCAATTAGTAAATATTTTTTGTAATTAAATATTTTGAAAATTTTATTTCCTTTTAGTGGGACGTAATAATGATGATGATGATGAAAATGATTCAAATGATGATGATGAATGGAATGCTTAAACTCTATTTGAAAATTATATTTTATTCATTGATAATTTTTATAAAATATAATTATTTAAACATACTCCAACGATCTTTATTATGTATATTGAGAAGAAAAACTAGCCAATAATAGGTTAGTATTCATGATATTTTGTTTTTAATTTTACGAATGCATCATTGTATACATATTTTTTTTTACTCTTGATTTTTATTTTTCTATTATTCTGATAAAAATTCTTTTGACATATTTTGTGATCTATAACTCAGATCTATGGGAATTTTCTTTGTTTTTATTTTTTTATTTGAATGCAAATAATAAATAACAGTAAATTTATATCTTATTGTTTTCTTATATCATTAGAACGCATTTTTTTTTCTAATCAAACGATCTATAATTTGACTTTGTGGTTGAAACGAACGCAATAAAAATATGTTTGAAACTATGCGCACGTGCTGTAAATAAGTAGACGAATCCAAACAACACGTTCTCATTATTTCAAATGTATTTTTAGTCCATTTGTCTCGATCTGAAACAGACACAAGAAGGATTACTAGAGCCCATCGGGTTGGTTCTGAGTTCGAAAATTTTTATACCCGATGGACTTTGAATTGTATTTACACTATTTCTGTATATTGATAAAAGTTTTTTTATATCATAGTGTGTTGACACAATTATACAATGTCGCTTTTGTGAGTACGAACATTTATTGTCATTGTTAAATAAAAAAAAAAAAAATGATTGATAGAAAGTCATTTTATCATTGTATATAGTAACCCATAAACTGACATGTTTTACCAACCTTTTCAACTCATTAAAAGACTTTATGACATCTTTGAGTAAAGCATGACATAATATTTAAGTGTATATTGAACTTTAATGAGTCTTAAAACTTTTTCGATGAAGAACATATACTTTCTGTTGATCATAACTATCACAGAGATTTTTTTGTTTTCTAGTTTATATTATTTATTTGAGAATGTAAAATGTTACCGTAATGAAAACTAAAGATATAAGATTTGAAAAAGTATAATTAGAATTTCGATAAATTGAAAGGAACGAATTAAAAATTTGATTCAAGTTATAGATTACTCTATGATATTTTGGTATTAATGAAAAAAAATAATTTTTTTTTTTTTTGTTTTTTGAATTTATTTTTTAATAATCTTTTTTGGTTTTTTTTTTAAAGTGCATATAACAATCGTTTCATAGCATCACTAATATTTAATCCAGCAAGTTTTCTATCTAAACTATAAAAATCACATTTTTCTATTGCATGTTTTGTTGAATATAAATCAGTTTGATCATTATATAATTTTGATGAATAATATAAAATTCGTTCACATAATGCTAATATACCAGCATATGTATCAAATTTAAATTCATATTCTTGATTATTAATTAAATCAATTAATTGACAAAGATAATTATATTGTTGACGTGTAAAATTTTCTTTATGTATAGAAAGTATTGATAAATATAAATCGGATAATTCAAATAGATGATATCTATTACGATATTTATTAAATAAACGTTTAAATTGATATTGTCGACGTGATGATAAAGAACAATAATTAGTAAGATATTTAAGTGGTGTTATTGTTTCAAGTATTTTTAAATCAGATGGTAATTCAAAACGACAAGCCTAAAAATAAGAAATAAATAGATTAATTTTTGTTTTTTTTATTTAATTTAAGAATATAAACAAACTTGTAAAGATAATGGCATTGGACCAATAGATACTGCATTAGCACTATCTTTTATTTTGACTAATAAATTCAATGTTTCTTGATTTTCGATTGGTTTTCCAGCGTTTTCTTTTGTTTGAACTTCTATTTTATTCATTTTGCCACGATTGTTACGATTTATTATTAATCCAGGAGTGATAGTAGTATCTTTTATTGTACTCTGATTACTAGTAATTGTATCATTCAAGGATTCACTTCGATCAAGTAGTTTTTTTTTATTATTTAATTCTTCTAAATCTGATTGTTGCTTAGTTTCTATTGTATTATTAATAAGAGGAAGAATAATATCTTCTTTTTTATTATCAATTGTTAATTGAATCGTATCCTTCTTATTAGTTAATAATTTTAATTCTGTTTTATTATTATTAATTATTGTTGGTTGTACATAACGTGATGGTACTGGTGGTGTTTTTGATTGTTTATTTCGAATTGTTTTTAGAAATTGAGTACGAGCATGTTGAACTGATGTAAGAATATTAAATTTTCGAATAACCATTGTACTTGTTAATAAAGAATCGTTTGTATTCATATTTGGTAATGTTGTTGATTTGAAATTCATAAAAAAAAACGATTTAATTTTTATGATCAATTTTAAACTGTTTTGTATTACTTATTTTTTAGTTGACAACTTACACACACAATAAAAAAAAATGATGTTTTTCAGTGACTATAAAGATTTTATTATAGATGTTGTTTTTAATATGTGATAAGGAAAGAAAAATTAAAGAGAAATATATTTATATTTATTTATCTTTTTCACTATGATAACCCTATTTGTTGAATTAATGAAGATAAAACCATTCAAATATATTTAAAAAAAAACATCTAATATTTATCTATAAATTTTGTAATCGGAGAATACAATTGAATAGAGTTAAAAATAATTTGTCATCATACGATTAATTCTTAAGAATAAAGTACTTGATTTTTGTTTTATTCTCAATCTTTCAAAAGTTTTATAATGATAAATGTATTATTGACGATATCAATAAAGAATCTACAATAAATCCTCTGTTTTTTTTGTTGACTTCTATGATGTAATAGTGGTTTAACTACAAATTAATTATTTTTGAGTTTCACTTGATATTTAGTTAATAGAATAATGTGAGTTTATTTTGATTATACCAATCTTTCTATATCATATATATTTTTGTTTTTTGAAATTACTATTGAGATATTTTTAATGACGTCATATTTTCATTGCATCATCTTTAT